CGGTGAGAACAGTGTTCGACGACCACTCGTGAATCCGTCCAATGATACGTGGACCGATGTTACGGTTCGTAAAATCGTGGCTCGCAGTCGAAACAGGGTGTTCAAATAATTACAGCGGGCATAAAAGTCAGGATAGGGCGTCGCTTCAACGAACAGGAGAACCGTGTGGCGTGACGATCCTGCGGTCGACGCTCAGCCCGATGCAAAGGGGTTTGTTGATTTGCTATTTGCGAAACGAGTGATTTCGGGCACTGCTGTGAGTCTGTAAATTTAACATTTATTTCGGGCAGGACTTTCATCACGTTCGAATCCAGTGAGGGTGGATAATTCGAGTTTCTTAGTACGACTGTGGAAGCAATTTTTACGGGGCATCTGCTCTTTTTATTGAACACTTGGAAGTTTTGTGTGTCTGTATCTTTTCTGGTGAATTGGCTAAGCGAACAGAATTAGCGCTTCCAGCGCTGATAATTTAGAATGAACTTTTTACGAGAAAATTAACCGTGGTACGTAAATGTTGTACGAGGCACGCTTTATAGCCGAAATTTCGTACTTCTATAAGACATTTATCCGTAGTGTGTTTTCAACAATTGGAAAATTTAAGTTTATTTGTGTCTGGTTCGTTATTATGATATTGTTCGGTGCAGTTCGTAAAATTTTACGACGTGTGTTTTTGCAGCAGTTTCGCACTTTCGTGGTTTGGGTATTTTTTGTTATGAAAATTACTTAATTTAATGAAATTATTTATCACACGGTTGCTTTTTTAAAAGACAATTCCGCTATTAGAGGATCCTGTAATTTTATTAAGATTTATTATTATTTGGAAACATTTTCCTTTTTATTTCATAGTCAATTTTTACCGTGTTCAAAATTAATTAAATTAAATTAATGGTATATTCTATTACATAAAAATATAATAAATTCAATACCTGTTTATATCGCGTATCACATTTAAACAATTGAAAATGAGAATAAAGATCAAAATAAAAATGAAAAAGCAGAAACTTGTATAAAAGAGTAATTCAGTAATTTAAAAAGAGACTATTTTCATTAATAACAATTAAAAGGACGATCAATAACAATAAAAACCAAATGCAATTTTGAATGAAACTGTTTCTTAACCGAATATATATATTATTTATTTTACACTGCCCAATACAGTTTTATTCTTTTTATTTATTTCCCTCGCATTATAACAAGAATTTGATCAACAAATTGCAATTAGCTAAAATTTCGTGAGTAATCCCGCATTCAAAGCATACCCTTAACCTTTAACCCTTAACAGACCACTACTGCCATATAAGCGGCATGGCAGTTTTACTTACTGGGTCCAATGTCGCGTATATGGCAGGAAAATCAGTTTATTATTTTTGTCACCGTTATAGTTGTAATATTTACAATTAATGTAATATTTACAATTAACATGTTAAGTATTGTGCTCGGTCACTACTGTGAATTTTGTTTCCGCTTGTTATTTATGTTACGGTACTTTTTAGCGGTAAGTAAACTCGAAATACTTCTGGTCCGCCAAAACTTAAGTATGGACATGAATTTAACCTTTAAGTATGAAAGTCGATTACTGATTAATGTTAAATATTTTCGTACGTAGCAACTAATAAAAAAATTTATTGTATTTATTTAGTTTTGCTTATTTAAATATCTGTACATAGCAATAATATCAACTGGATAACGAAAAATTTCACTGGTTTCAAAATTCATGATATTTTATGTAGAGGTCTATGAGACCCTACGTCCTTACTTAACCAATTAGTTGTTGCGACCTCTTTAAAAAGTGTGTAATACTTCATTCTGAAATGTGTATACGTTCATATCTACAACTAACTGTTTCTAAACTTTTCGTTCCAAGTATACATATAAAATTGATTATTTTGGAAATGAATTTTCCCTTAACCAACAGATAGCTTTTTTTAATGAAACTATAGCTGTTTCTGGACAAGTGAGTTCGTCACAACACAAAATCTTGTCATTTCTTCATGACGAGTATACTCATCAAAAACAGCTAAGTAGTTAAAGGTTAAGACATACTTCTCACACGATGTCACCATTCATCTTCATTCATTTTAGCGCACAATGACATTCTCATTCCGCAATGCAGCGGCAACCGCGTCCTTCTGAAAAATCTCACCCACCTGATTCACTCCAAGCATCAAGTTCTTTATCTTCACCGTACCTTTACACCAAGTATCACGTTAAAACCAGGATATACCGCGAAACACGAATCTAGTCCGTTGGCAGCGCGCATCTTCCCGCAGCGACTGCGACACTATTATCCCTGGTCTATAGAAGCCAGTGGACAACTACGCGGATCATTCGTAGGTAATGCGGCCGGAAGTCGTGTGCGAGCGCGTGAAGCGGGGAACGTTGATAACCGGACCGTGTCCCCCTGTCCTCGGCCCTTTCTATTTTTTATGACGCCCCGCCACGGTGGTCGCAAAAGCTTACACGCGCACGCCGCAAAACGAGGGCTCGCAGTGTCCGCTCCTCTCTCCGCTCCTCCAGGCCCGACGCATCGCGGCGCCGCGCAGCGTTAGCTCTCTCACAGTCGGCTCGCTCTCTCGTTGGTATTTCCAATTTCACAGAGCGTGGGTTAACGAGGCCCGAGGGCTGAGAGAAGTTAGGGCGACCGAGCCTCTGGAACGTCCTCTGTCCCCGCCAAAAGTGAGCCCCGATGGTCCCACTGTTACACCTCTTCACCCTCACCCTTTCCCCTTCCATCTGGCATCCACCCCTCTTCGGACCAACGGCCCGTCCCACCCTCGGCGTACACCCATTTAAACGCGGTGCCCTGTCGCGTACGGGGTTCCGGCACATTACCTTCGCTGATTACCGGCCTGCCCCGCGGAGTATGTCACCCAGTCACCCTCGAGACACATACCTTCCGGAATCCTGCGACCCTTTCCTACCGTTAGTTCCGTATCTGGCAAGATACGCATCGCAGGAAGCGTCCGAGATGAACGAACGAAAGAAAGAGCGAAGGAACGAACGACCTTCACCGTTCTCCCGAGATTCAAGCGATCCCTCTCGTCCTCCGCTATCCACCTGATATTGGATTCCACGCTATAAAGAGTTTATTATACACGCGAGGTTGCATGCGTTGCCGTTGTCTCTTAACTTCGCGCCACGGATTCTGCCAGATATTGAAGAATTTCGGCGGCCCGGAATGGGGGCCGTGTTCCTCCCCGCTCGTGCCGGCTTAATTAGATTTTTCGAATCGTCGTTGCGCGAGCGGACTGCGGTTTTAATCGAACGGACGATCGAAGGTCTCCGACGGTATTAGAGGGGCGGGGAATGGAAAAATTATTAACACGTTCGGTGCAGCGTCTGAGCTTCGATTTGTAGAGGGATAACGAGCTTGTGATTGTTAATTAATTTAGGTTTTTTTTAGTAAATTTTTGACAAATAAAATTTTAGTAGCTTAACAATTTTTTGACAAATTTGATCTGAGGAAAAATTAGTTGAAAAAGTTATGTGTATATTTTTAAAATTTCTTTTATTTTGTACAATTCCCCTGTAGGCTAGAAAAAGGGTTTTGAGCATTCATTAATCGTGTTTATATTTATTATTATTAAAATCTTCTTTCTAATCGTGATAAATTATTTAGGGTAATGTACATATAAATTATGAAGAGGAAGGATAATTGTGGAAAACGTATAGCATTAGTAGCCTTTTAATGAAGACTAGACGAGGCGCTGTTATATTAGTAAGTCGTCGTGGTACCTCGTTTTCCGTTGTTATGATGTGTGTATAAATTAAGGTATACTGAAAAGGGACAAGGGAAGTGAAATGATGTACTATATTTTGCATGAACCATACATGCCACCGCGAAGTATAAGATTCTGAGGGAGCATTCCTCCATTGTCGGCTTAATGGTGTATGTATATCACTTGAAAATAAGGGTTCACGGGATAATGGAATTAATAATTCTTCGTTCTTTTTTTTATCGAGCTGGGATTCATAGTTTCATCTAACTTCAACAAAAAAAATTGCTAAAAAATCAAAATACGATTTAATAACAGTCAACTTTCAATTATCACTTTACAACATGTCATTCGAAGTTTTCATATCAAATTGCATGAGGGACAGCCACCGGCGAGTTGTGCTGGATTTTCTACTTAAGCTATTCTGATCATTTATTCTAATAAAAAATAATACATACTTTCTAAATTATAAGTTCGTTAAAATGGAAGTATACATTTTATAGCGTTTAGTGCTAATGCGGTATAACGATGCTAATAATTATTTTTCTGAAGCGTAAAATACACATTCTTTCCATCATATAATACATATAGCTTTGTGTATCACAGAATTTATAGTGTCACTTAATACATTATAACCGCATAATTAGTACGTACACATACACCAGCAAATAATTTACATACTGTTCTGACAACAACTTGCAAAAGTATTTTTTCCATTTTATTTCAGTGTATTACTATCGCAATTCAATGAACCTACTGCCAGCAATTTTAAATGCACTTACACGTGACACAAGAATCGCTATTAAAAAATAATATCGTAAAGTGTTTGCTAGTGTATCTGCTCTTTAATATAGAAAAATCCTATTACAAGGTTAAACTGTTAACTGTGGAATTTAGTTTCAAAAATCTCTCGTTGCACGTGCAATAAAATCAAACAATAAAGTGTATACTCGTTAAAGGCAGGGCAAATGCATCATAATATACTCTAACAATAGACTAAATCAAAACGAAGAAGAATTGCATGTTCATCGGAGAAAATAAATAATTCATCGTTGAAGAAATGATTACCATTTTGCGTCTTAAGATGTCGTGTTTACTCGTCGAACGCAGTTAACTGGTTAAACACTTTTGCAATCATCGCGCAGTATAATTTAAAAAATCATTGTTCCTACAGCAAAAAATTTCTTTCTTTTACAGGGCAGCCCAGAAGTTGAATCTCTCATCAAGTCCGCACCGTCGACGTCGCTCAGGTGACGAGAACATCGTCTCGGACGATCTGCCAATCTTCCCGAATGGGTACGCGGCTCTGCTCCTCAAGTCGCCACCGCCCGCTCCGCCAGCGCTGTTGCGGAGGATAGGCGTTAAAGAGCTGACCGGGGTCGGCAAGGT